AGCCACCCAGGCGCCCCTATGGCAGCTTTTAAGTAGTTGTAACAGAGACCATGGGATGCGCAAAGCCTTAAAAAATGGACTTTTTCTGGCCCTTCACAGAAAAAGTTTGCTGACCCCTATTCTCAGCAATAGTAGTGAAGGGGCTCTGTAAAAAAGAAACTACAGACTCCTTGAAAATCAATTTACAGGAAGATGTGCAGAAAAAGTATAGAGAAAACCAGGTAAAAGCTTCCAAGAGTCCTCTCCCAGTGGAGTCACCCAAGATGGGTTTAATTCCCCCAGCAACAAGCCGTGATAGTGTGTGAACTGTTGTCTACCAGAGAAGCTCGTTATAGACTCACGGCTCAGGGTTTTTACTGGGAGTTGGTCCTACAGGCACCCCTGCTGAGCACCTACCAAGATTCCAGGCTCCAAGAAGGAAAGCAGGTGTTAGTAAAAACCACACTCTTTGTGTAAACACCGGGCATAGTCCATCACTCTTCCTAGTTACCACAGGGCGAACCCTCCCGGAATCCATGTTCCTGCCCTCCAGCAAGGGCCAGCCGACCTCACGAACAGGGCTTTATAATGACAGCATCACAGGCCTGCTACGTCGACACGTTTTTGCACACTTATTCACAGAGAAAGACTTGTAAACTGAAGTATCTTGAGTAAAAAAGATAAACTTACCACATCTACCAAATTCATAGCTGTTTGAAGAAGATAGCACTGAGCTGCCCCTCTCAGTAGAATCTGATGGGTGATCATAGTGCACTGAAGAACATCCCTGACATCAAAAAACAAAAACATGCATTTCCATGTTCCCAAAGACAATCCCGATAACTTGTAAATACTGACAAGCTGATTTACAGTGTCCACAATTCCCAATGTAGAAAGTCACTGTTAGTACACCTTCAAGGCTATTATTTCCCATTAAGGTCTCTGGTAGAGCTCAATTTTAATATGAAATATATCTCTTTCAAAAGATTGTAATTAAGACACTATTAAAATAAGAATTTTACATTTTTTGAAATACTTTGCAATCAATATTACTGTTTGATATTTTCTCTCTAGTTTTCTACATATCAATGTAATTTAAGAAAACCTTATTGGCCTTGTTTTAAAATGATCAAAATCCAATAGCATGTATCATGGCACATATATAAATTAGTAATTCATAAACCAAAATAAGTCCAACCATATAAACAGACGTTTTACTTCTTAATATAAAACTAAGAGCTCAAAAGTAAGTGCTCAAATCCCAATGCCAATATTAACTAAAACCACTCACTACAGATTAAAGCAGAGGGGGAAACAAAATTTACTGATGGAAAGTTACTGCAGATAACCCTATGTGAACATATGAACATATGTGAACACAGAGTAAATTACCTGAGAGCAAGAAGCCCTTCTATACCCAGGGCTTTACATCTTGGGACATTTGCCAAAGCCTTAGACAGAAACAAAATGGGAATGGCACACCAATGTCTACTTGTCATCTTCTGAATAAACTTTAATAGGAAACTACCTGAAAGAAAGGTTTTAAAATATCACTGTTGCCAAGAATCACACAGAAAGCTGCCCAACATCGTTAAAAGGTATGAAAATGCAAATCAAAAACCATATGCGGAATATAAGAAAAGCGCAGAGGACCACAGGGGAAGGGACGGAAAACCGAATGGGCAGAGATCAGAGAGGGAGACAAACCATGAGAGAGACTGAACTCTGGGGAAACAAACTGAGGGTGGCTGCAGGGGAGGGGGGTAGGGGGATGAGGTGGCCAGGTGATGGGCATTAAGGAGGGCACATGATGTGATGAGCACTGGGTGTTACACGCAACTAATGAATCACTGAACACCACACCAAAAACTAATGATGTACTATATGTTGGCTAACTGAAATTAAAAAAAAACCCACAATGAGATAGAACTTCACACCCACAAGGATGGCTGTCATCAAAAGGATAGACACTAACAAGTGCTGACACGGATAGACAGAAATTGGAACTCTCATACACTGCTGGTGGGACGGCAAGATGGCGCACCAGTGTAGAAAACAGTTAACGAGTTAAACTGAGTTACACCAAGAACTACCCTAGGAGCCAACAATTCCACTCCTAGGTATACACTCGAGAGAACTGAAAGCATATGTGCATACACAAACCTGTATGTGAATATTCACAGTAGCATTTTTCATAATGACCAAAAGTGGAAACAATCCAGATGTCTACCAACTGCTAAATGGATAAATAAAACGTGTGATATCTGAATAGTAGAGTATTTTTCAGCCACAAAAAGAATGAAATACTGACATGGATCATTACTGGATGACTCATTCATGGATGATGAATCTTAAGAACATGCTAAGTGAAAGAAACCAGACATAAATTAAAAGGCCACATATTATAGGATTCCATTTACATGAAATGTCTAAAATAGGCAAATCTGCAGAGAAAGGAGATTTAGTGGCTGACAGAAGCTGGTGGGAAAGGAGAATGGAAAGGGATCGATGATGGGTGATGAAAATATTCTTTCTGCGAGTGATGAAAATATTCTGGAATTAGTGGTGATGGTCGTAGAACTTTGTGAATGTACTAAAAACCAATGGAACGAACACTTTAAAAGGATGAGTTTTATGGTCTGTGAATTATAGCTCAACAAACCTGTTGGGAAAAAAAAGAAAAAAAATCAATTCTATTTCAATCTCATTCCTGTAAGATAAGTACTCTACTATATTGTAGATTCTTTTTTTTTTTTTTTAAAGATTTTATTTATTTATTTGACAGAGAGATAGAGAGCACAAGTAGGCAGAGAAGCAGGCAGAGAAGCAGGCAGAGGGAGAAGGAGAAGCAGGCTCCCCACCGAGCAGGGAGCCCGATGTGCGACTCGACCCCAGGACCCTGGGATCATGACCTGAGCCAAAGGGAGCCGCTAAACCGACTGAGCCACCCAGGCACCCCTATATTGTAGAGATTCTGATAACCATGCGGCTGTAATAAAAAAGAAGTTTAAGGTGTAAGATCAATTTTTTTTACTGTTAGAACCAGTCCTCTGTTGAAGAGGTTAAAGAAAAACAGTCAGAATTACTGATGGTAACTGGCCTCTGGTATCTGCGTACAATAACATTAGCTCCTTCTCATACGCTATTTCTTACCTACCATGGATCTAGTCACTAATTTTCTATCTTGAGATTCCAACATCCGGTGCTCCGTTCTGCCTTCTCTGCTAATATGTCATTTCTTAAAGACCCTCAAGTCATGAAACTAGTGACGATGTCGGTTTCCTCAGATCATCACCGTAGAATGACTTAAGAAATCCTTGGAAGCTCCTAAAAGGAGCTTGTGTTTTATTTATAAAACAGTATTTTATATTATTTATAAAACACCACGTATTTTATATCTTCTAAGTACCTAGCACAAAACATTTAAGATACTCACTGGAAACTGCTGACTGAAAAATCTACTAGCAAAAACTGAGTACACATTTTACTTGCCCTCTCTTCTGATGGACTAATTAAGTTCCCACTTCTGCCTAACGTCTCACTCATGGCACCGGGAAGATGGCGGGGGCTGAGCTTCCACTTCACATTCATTCAACACACTTACGAGCGTCCACTGCGTGCTGGCCCTGGCCACGCACAGCAGGCGTTCAAACCCCGGGGTGTTACCACCATCCTCTCGCTCTCCACACTGCTGACCCGGGATGTGCCAACATGGTCAGCAAAGCAACCCCCAGACGGCTTACACTTCTGACTTCTGGCAAACTACAGAACATCTGAGTGGACCTTCTCAATGAACTAACTTTTTAAAAAAGTAATCAAAAGAGCCAATTTTCTAGAAACCTGAAGTTGAGATACTTTTTCATCCCTGACTTCTGAGTAGATAGTTCCACTGGTCATTGTTTCACCCTGTTTGCAGACGAAATACAAAAGGAAATGTGTGTCTGTTTCACACCCAGGATCGCTTTATAAGCCACAAAGCCACGAGGGAAAAAAGGACCCAGGAAGTAGAGTTAAGTCCTTCTGCTGCTCAACAAACAAAGTAACACTGGGTGTTGCTCTTTGATTACCAACTTAACTCATCAGAAAGGAAAATAAATCCCCAATCTGAAGAAGTAGGTGTTTCTAAGATACAAGGTCTACATAAAGCAAGTATATTTTTCGTTTACCTGTCAAGTTCCTATCTACAGAGGGGCAGTTTTGCCACAATGGATATTCTGTTTACAACTTTTTCCTAAACCCAGGTGTCTCTTTCTTCAACCAATTACACTAATTTTTGGAAAGCAAATAGAGAAAACTAGAAAAGATGGCCAACGGCAGCACACATCCTGAAATGACTTCCATGCTCCTCACGCCAATACCGGTAATAAGTCTCCTGTATAAAGGCAAAAGTGTGTACCCAATTACAACTAACGCCTGTATAATTCTGACAAAATACGTATATTCCCGAAAAAGAAAACTATTTTGACAATACTGATTATAATAGTCATAGGATAGCGCTTATCACCAATATACTAAAAATTTTAAAGCTAATAAATTAAAAAACTCTTTACTGACACATACTCTTCATTTCTTCTGGAAGAAGAGAAACATAAGTGACTAAAAACTTCTGTAATTTCAATCCCAATGGAGAACCACTTCCTATCAGCTGGCCTGGGGACCTATAGACAAATGAGGGGAAAAAAACAAATATTTAAAATTTACAAATAAGTATACTGAAACTAAATGAACTATGGCTCAAAAGTCTTTCAATAACAATCAGAACATCTTTTCCTGAACCCGCATTTTATTCTTCAGTGAAATTCTGAAAATCCTTCTGAATACAAAAACATCAGGATCTTCTAGGAAAATGGACATGAGTTAGTATCGTAACATACTAAGTAGACATGGATTTCCTTTTTATGATACTTTCCTTGACACACACTATGAATCTTGCTAAAATGGCATCATCTTAAAAAAGTCTAAAAAAGTGATCATTTTCAATCATATTTTATTGTTTCCAACATATAATCTAATGATTTTAAATCTTTAAGTATAAATAAAAGAAATAACATTCATAGAAAAACATATATGAGTAATTAATGACTTTTGCAAGAACACTTAATTGTTAACATCTACTAAAGTCATGTTTTTTTCCTGCTATACGCTTCCACCAGGAACATTATCTGTTAATTGAACACATGAGAGTGCGAGAAAACTGAAGGCATTTCATAACAAATGTGTCTGTCGACTCTTTTAGAGGCACCAAGTAGGTTTTACTGCTCTCCAGCCGTCTAACTGCTTCACAGAACTATTCAGTAGTAATGAGTTATTTGAAAACTAATTGGCAAATCAAGTGTTGCCCTGCTCTTTCAGTATTTATTAAATAGGATTAAATATTAGTATAACTTAGCACAAACTAATTTAAACGTTTTAAAGAAACTGGCAATGGGGGGGTTGTCTCTTTAGAGGTATACTGAACAGAAGACTTGCAAGTATACGTTTAGCTCATCAGTATTCAAAAGACCACCTAAGCTCAAAGGCAGGGGACCACTGTGAAGGTGTAATTCAAGAGTACGGAGAACGCTCAAAACACGAGGCTACGGCACAGCACTGACTCACCCTCCTCGCTGTCTGACTGCAGAGGAGGAGGGGCAAGAAGTGACCTATTCGCGATAGCAGCAGCCTCTGTCAGATCTAGATAAGGGCACGGTTAGTGAGCCCTGTGGCACTGGGCTGGAATCGGAGGTACTGCTGTGACCTCGGGGTTTTTCACATGGATGGACAGACGGACCCTGAAACAGACACAGATCAGCAAGTCTGCTCAGCAGACAGAGCTGGGGAACCGACGTGCACCCACAGGGAGAGAAAGGGCGACTGAGCAAACGTGGTGACACGCTGACATCGGGGGGGATGTGGATGAAAGGTACAGGGGAATTCTTTGTATTATCCTCACAACTTTTAAGTCAAAATAAAAAGTTAAAAAAAAAAAAAAAAGGAAACCAGTTTAGAGTGTTGGTTACGGTCAGCCAACGGCACTACAACTTCCAGGAGAGCTGAAGTCAGAGCAAGGGGAAGCAAGTAAGCTCGGCGAGATCTACTTTCCATAAACCCCAAGAGTGGAAGGGTTCAAGGTAAGAAAGAACACAAAAAAAGGGAACACTTGATAGAACCAATAGAAGAAGAGCAAGAAGAATAACACACAAAAGGGACTTCATAGTAAGAAAAAGTTGAATGTTTATTCGGCAACACGTGTGATGTACGAAATGCATTAAACAGCCTGGTCCTATTTCACAAACACATTACATTTCTATATCGAGGACATATTACTACACGGCTGTTAGATAACACAATGTTTGTTTACCTGATGTACAGAGAGCTCTCTGAAAGTGCGTCCATTAATGGTCCAATAATAAACTAAAACAAAACAAAACAAAAATGTAACTGATGTTAAGTTACAGTCGCAACTTTGAAAAGTCAGCTTGCCTTAGCTGCATATCCCAGCAGGGCTGCAGGAGAGCTGTGCTGAGCAAAGCTGACCTCTTCCACTGTGGGCTAACTCAGGGCTAATAATGGAGGGTACCTTAACTCCACCGCTACAACAAAATGTGTACAGAATCTTCCCACCTGATAAAAACTGAGGAAGAGAGATCATATAGGGCCAGCAAGGAAGGAAAGGAGCCCAAAGAAGAAATACATGGTGAAAAATAAGCGTAGTTACAAGGACAAACCAAAAGAGATAGATACGCAAGAGAAAATGTGAGCCCCTGTGCCTGGAAAATAAAACGGGAAAAAATTGTATCTTCAAAAATATTACAAGACACTGGGTCAAAAAAGCATGTGTCTAGGAAGTGCAGGAAGGACAGGAGAATGTGGAAAATGATACATATCAAAACACGACAGCATGTCATCAGTTAGGAAGGTTTCGTAGGGTCCCTGTAAATGCGGGTAAATTACCCTAAGCGATCATGTGACTCACTGGCACTACAAGACTTAAAATCCCAGCTGTAATTCTCAGTCTCTGCTTTGTGTGATTTCTGACAAATGGAAGTACAGATGCTAATAAATGTAGCTCAAAAGGCAATCTCTGCTTAATACAGTAGCTAACAATAATTCATTGGCTCAGAACTGGGGGAGGAGCATCACTCAACAAACAGCAGTAATTCAGAGATTCAGACCTGTGAAAATAGCATCATTATGCAAATCTATAAAATGTCACTTGCTCTGAGAGCCCTAGTATGTATTTTTTGAAGATCACATTATGATGCAACAAATGTCTTTACCTCTCATCTCTTGACAAAGAGAGTAAGGGGGAAGCAAAAGGCCTCATTACCTCAGAAAATTCTGGTGAAAATGGAAGAATCTTTGTTTCATACAGCTCCAAAAAATGGATGACACCTTCTTTGGTCAGGATTTTATTTTCACTTTCAAACATTCTTTTATAAATACACATATGCCAGGACGGGTGAAAGAGCCAACACCCTGTGGAGATAGAGCACGTGACGCTGACACTGATTCTCACGCTCTGTTGCTCCACATCAACTTCAGTCACACAAGAGCACGCTGACTTCGTTCTAACATACAGTGAGGTTACAGCTCAAGGAGACTCAGGCAGTCTCATTTAGAAAGACAGCAAGCCACTTTACCACTACCACAGCGCACACAAGTTAACTGTTGCCCCATGCACACGGGTTGGACCTTCAGATTTGGGGTGATTTCAAACAACCCTTCTGTCACCCTACTTCCATCCATTTTTCCCACAGAAATCTGAGACTGTCACTCCTCTGCTTAAAACCCTTGAATGGCTCCTCATACTCTCGGAAGAAAATCTGAACAAGGCATGAAGTGACCCCGAGAACAATGCCAACGCCACCCCAGCCTCCCACAGCCACCACCCTGTGCCACGCTGGTCCTTTGGGTCCTCCGCCCCACCTCAGGCTTCTTACATGCTGCCGTCTCAACTCTGAGCTCCAACGTCACTCCTGAGGTGGGCCTTCCCTGACCACCCTAAGGGATGGCCTCACTCACAGTATATTCTATTTCAGTCCCTTGTTTGGTTCAGTCCCTTGTTGGTTTTTTTTCATGGAAGAGACAAAAATTAAGTGAAAAGTAGTACACATGTCTCCCCACTTTATCCCTAGCACTTAGCATCTACTGGACACTAAATGAATTTCTACTAAATTTATAAATGAGTGGGGAAAAAAAAACCCAAAACAAAATAAATATGTACCTCAGAGATATTTTTTAACTCTTTTGAAATATCTTTTAATTCTTCTAGAAAAAAATTATTCAGCATTTTTAACTCATGGCATTCTAGAAATGAATTGGTCCATTATTTGTAATTTACACCAAGATGCTTGCTTGTTCAATGCTTTGGCAATGGTAATTTTTCCAAACCTGTCACTGCTATTTGATTTGGTTTGCCAAGAGCTGTGGGCAAAACGTGGTAATAAGAGAATCATCTTAATAGTAAATGCATAAGTGAAGTCACAACAGGATTCAATTAAATTCTAGCCCCAGGTAACTATAGATTCTTACAGTCTGTGAAAAATCCCAGTGTATCAGAAAACAACAACAGCACTCGACTGGATAAAGCTCAACTCCTAGGGGTCTAACTATTAAAGTTGTAATTATCTGGAGTAGGCACTAAAACCCATTTACCCAGGTTAATTCTCACGGATAAACACGATAATACAGCAGTTTATCATTCATATGCATACAAAACACTGTCAGCCTGCATTTGGCTGTTTTGTTGATAGAAACAGAGTCTCACAAAATAATTTTAGGAAGCTCCAGTTTCTTTCTCTCTCTCCTAAAAAACTCTCAAAACACAGTGCTGATTAAAGGCTTAAAAACCATACTTAAAACTATACCTTGGAAATCTTCCTAAAAAGTCCAAGATACAGAATAATAACTGAAATCCCAAAAAAGTAACAATGAAACAGAAAGAGAATAAGAATGGAAAGCAGTAAAATATATAATACCAAAGAGCCATTATTAACAATGTAGAGCACACCATCATTAAAACATTCCTAAAGAGGCCTTATCTCTTAAAGAGTGTATACTCATATACTCAAATGATTTCAGACAACAGGATCTACTGTGGTGGGCAGTGGGGGCGGCGGGGGGGAGGGGAATGCTTCACGGTCAATGGCGGGGAGGAGGCAGTGGGGGAAGCTACAGAGGGTTGAGGGGCACAGACTGGCCACGTGCCGGTCACTGCTGACGCTGAGTGGTGAGGCTCACTTTACATATTCCTCTCCTTCTGTAAATGTTTGAAATGTTCCGTGAGCAGAAGTTTACAACGTTAACCATACCGCTAAATTACAGAACACTCCGCAACCATTTAAAGGTATGTTCTCAAAGATCAAGGATACAGGTAAGCGCATTTGGACACACTGCTCAGTAAGACAGAACCTTACGAACGATCAGTCCAGAAGGCATGTATCTGGAATGTTAACAGCTGTTCTCTTGGTGGCAGCAGATGCATATTTTCTGTTACACTTTGATGGTTTTTCCAAATTCTCTATAATGCCTAAAAGTTAGTTATAAAATCAAGGGGGGAGGAAAAAAGCTGTAAATGTATAAAAATCAAAATACAAGTAACCATTACCGTTTTCTTCTGACACTGCATATTCAAATAGACTGTTTAGCTTTGGTAAAACTGGCTTTATAACGTGGATCTGAAAACAAAAACAGAAAACCACATGAAATAAAAACTCACCTTTAAAAATTAAGATGAACTTTAAAACTTTAAAAATTCAGATGAAACTTATTTTCATCTATTGTACAATAGCAGCCCTACTACACAGAAGGTACCTGAATTTTCCCAGTTTTTATATCCTACAAATTCCGGTCTATGAGACTGAGTGTGACAAAGCTAATGAATACGACCTAGGACACAGTGACAAGAATGTCACATGTGTACAGTGAGTATCAAAAATCATGTCATGTAATCCTCAACTGTCCTGGTAAATAGGTAGGGCTGATAATACCAACAGATTACAAAGAGGGCAAAAAAAAAAAAATAATAATCCCTTGAGGCACTCAAGTGATGTTTAAGGCCACACGTGTAGAGTAGGGCCAGACTACTGTAGGTAAAATAGGTAAATTAGAGTTTCTAAATAAATTATAGGGGTCTTAGGTATCTGATTAAGAAAAACCATAAAAGCGTATTTGAATTTGGAAATGCTTTCTTTGTTCCTCATGCACATTTAGCACATCGTAATTCTTTATTTCAGTCCAACAATGCCTGGTGCACACTTGGGGTGATAGCTAACAATGAGTACCCAGACAGCCAGCCCCTCAGAGGTCTGCAGCAGACAGACTGGGAGGCCCTGCACCACCACGGGTTCTCCACGAGTGATCCCAGAGCAGCAGAGGCATCATCCGGGAACTTGAGAAACACCCGAATTCTCAGGCCCCGCCCCCAGACCTACTGAATCAGGAACTCTGGGGACCAGACCCAGCAATCTGTACTTTAACAAGCCATCTAGGTAATTCTAAGGAATGTTAAAGTTTGAGAACCACTGTACTAGATTAGGTCATCTTAAGAGATTCCGCTCAACTTAAAAATTCTACAAAAACAAATTCAAAGTTAAATGAAAATGATTTTTCACGTTTCCACTTGCAGGACCAGTACACACAGCCCTAAGAACGAAAATAGGAAGGGAGGGAGGCAGACAGGGCAATTATTTACTTAACAACTTACCTCAAATTGCCTTAAGTAACATTTTCCTAAGTCTGTATTTCTTTGAAGATTATTCATAATGCTGAGAAACTAAAAACTAACACTTCAGAAGTAAATGTCAAGGGAAGAACAAGTAAGACTAAAACTTTTTGAGGGACAATTTAAGTCAATTAGAAGTATGCTTTAATTTCCTGAGTTAACATTCAGTTTTAAATTGCATTTATGCCAGAAAACAAAGTACATTTGTATCCTATTATGCTTTATCCAAATTGGTCTTTCTGCATTGCTTTTATAGACTGATTAAAAAAAATTAAAACTGCATCTACACAGGATTTGTTAAAATATGAAAACACTTACCTGATTTCCTTCTAGAGTTTCCATAATTAAAATATAGTTTTCCCAAAACTTTAGAAGCTCATCTTTCTTCTTCTCAGACCACCAAAACAGACTTGGGCCTGATATGGTTTAAAAAGGAAAATTAGTTCCTCTTTTGTAGATTTCATAAGTTTCTTAATGACAATCATTTTTAAAATAATGCCAGTATTACCAAATACTGTATTCTCTAATAATGGAGAGTGTCCCTGTATCAAAGCCTAGATAGGAGGCTTGGGCTAACAAGAATCTCAAAAGGTTTTTTTTTTTCCTTTTAATTAAGATTACTGTTTTAGAGTTCTTGGTAAGAATCATGGATTTGAACACGTAAACCCCACTTTCTCTCCCTAAGAACCTCATTATAACAGTCGAGGACGTTTCAAAGGCAAAAACCCAAAAGAATGGCAAAAACAGGGGAGCTGACAACAGCAGTGAAACTTAGTTTGAAAATCAGAGAAAAGCCAAGCAGACTCAAGAAAAGTGAATATAAAGTGGCACATGGAAAGCCAAGAAAAAACCGGATTTACACTGGAACCAGACCTAAGGAACTGGCAGCAAAAGTTACTCTGTAAGTGGAGGTGAACAGCAAGGCTAAACTAAAAAGAATTTTGTTTGGTGTGTTTAAGAAACAGATCTTCAGTGCCCTTTCCTATGCTCTGAGCAGGAAAAATACTGGAATTTATTCTCTGGAGAAGGTAAAATTGTGGGTCTCTGGATTGAGATGCACTGGACCCTACCAGGGTCGGGAGTAAGTGAACCCCTTCCACCACAGGAGCCCCTCAGGTCCCAGAATGCTGGCCAGTTCTTCACTATGCGGCAGCAGACTGGAAGGTCTCCGTGGAATCTGGCCAGCCCAAGAAAATACTGCCATCAGAGATTACCCAATACTGTGGGGCTTGGCCAGATCACCTCGCAGTAAAGTTCAGTCAGCAAGCACCACTTATGTGTTCAGAGCTTTAAACTTGATTTGGGGTTCATTATTTTTTTTTTAATTAAAGATTTATTTATTTATTTGAGAGAAAGAGAGAGAGCTCATGAGCGAGCAAGGGGAGGGGCAGAGGGAGAGGAAGAGAAATCCTCAAGCAAATTCCCTGCCAAGCGCAGAGCCTGAAGCAGGGCTCGAACCCACGACCCTGAGATCATGACCTGAGAAGAAAATGAGTCAAAGCTCAACCGACTGAGCCACCCAGGTGCCCCATTGATTCCTTATTCTTAAATATAAACAGTTATCTAAGGATCACCAGCCATCTGGGGAAACATCCACATTGAAGATCAAGACCAAAACAAACAGGAAATTTGGAGAACAAAACTAAGCCAGAGGTAGAAAACCTCATGCTGTCATAACAACAGGATACGATTAATAAGGGGACATTACAAGAACAAAAAAGATCTCACGAGAATAAAAATTGGATAGCAAAAACCAGAAACTCAAAGGACTGGAAATAAGGTTGAGGGAGTCACCCAGGAAATAGAACCAAGAGACAAAAATCATAGGAAACAGGACAGAAAAGACGCTTTGATAAACCAGTCCAGGAGCTTCGCTATCCAACAAGAGAACAGAAAAGCAGAGAGGAAGGGAGCAAAGAAAGTAACTCAGGAAAAGTTCCCAGAACCGAAGAACATGATTTCCAGATGGACCAGGTCCAGCGAGTGCCCAACGCAAGGATGAAAACTGACCGGTACCAAAACTGTGAAACTTGAGAATGATGGGGCACAGTCCCCACTGACTTCCATGCAGAAGAAACAGAGCACATATAAACAAACACGATTCGCAACGGTTTCTCACACGGCTCAACAGCAAGACTGGAAGCTCGAGCTTCTAAGACAATAGATCAGAGCCTTCAAAGTTCTGAACGGAAACGTTTTCCACGCTAGAATTCTATCCCCCACCAGACCATAAATCAAATGGAATGGGAAAACAAAGGCATTTAGACACGCTTGGTCTCAGTTTCCACTTAGGACAGAGAAAGCTACAAAAGAACACTCCTGCCAAACTGACAAAGAGAAAAGCCTGGACAATACACACAGTCCTAACCCCCTGACAGCTGAGACTACAATGCCTCCAGGGGATGGGAACTCCAAAGGGCAGAAAGCCTCTCTCCGAGAACACACAGGACACACGAACTGAATCTACCTCTGGCCAAGTGCAGGAAGAAGACGTGGGCACCAAAAAGTAGTTTAAAAAAATCAAGGAGCAGCACCTGGGTGGAGCAGTTGGTTAAGTGTCCGTCTCTTGGTTTCAGCTCAGGTCATGATCTCAGCGTCCTGGGATCTAGCCCCATGTTGGGCTCCGTGCTCAGTGCGGAGTCTGATTCTCTCCCCCTCCCCCTGCTCACTCTCTCTCTCTTACTCTAAAATATAATTTTTTTAAAAAAAAAAGGAAAGAAAAGAAAAAAACAATGAACGTTTGTTGAGTTTTTCAAGGTGAGCTGTGGGCTAGTTTTGACAGCCTAGAACCCTGGGAACCCCAAGGGAGTCTGCAACCACTCACCAGCTCGTTTCCTTAGGCACCCCCAGGTGATCTGAGAAAGACTGTGGGAAACGCAAACTTTGGAGCACATGCACGCAGGGCCCACATAGGTCTGAGAGGACAGCGGGACTAACTGGGGCAGCCCAGCCCAGCCCTACAGGAGTACAAGGTGGTGGTCAACTGCTGAAGCCTGTCTGCACCCAGGACCCTCCTCAAACAGGAGACAAAAGCTGTCTGCCCCTGGAGAAAACCCTGCCACATCCCCAAACCTGTCCTGGCCCCGACACCAGGCAAACGTTGGCCACCCGAGGGGATGGAGAGAAAACCTGCTCGCCTAACCCTGCACCGACAGGAGGAAACCCCCTCATGCCCAGAGTCCTGCACTGATACAAAGCAGTGGGGGGAGGGCAGGAAACCAGCAGTCAAGACCTACCACAGATAGGAGCAGAATGCAGCCACCACAGAAGAGGGTGAGGGAACTCTGTGGTGTGAGCATCAACGGCTTCAGAAAACAACAACACTGAGGAAAAACCTTTAGGGACTCCTGGGTTCCCACTGAACACGAGGTAGCAACACCCCACAACCACAGCAGCAACAAGATCCAAATCCAGCTTCACCATAAACTAGTGTGACCCAAGCCCCAATACCAACGGCCTCACAGAAGAGGAGCGCTCATCTCTAGACATAAAGATCTACTTCATGCTACTAAAGAGTGACCCCCTTGCCCAGAAATAAAAAAAAACAAACTCCAAGATGGCCCATGCAGAGGACTAATACAGGACTACGATTCACATGTTAAAGGATCTACGGGAAAAGGTAGACAACCTGTATAAACAGATGGGAATGGAAGGGAATGGAAATTAAGGGTCAGATGGAAATAAAAGAAATAGAAACATATCAGGGGCGCCTGGGTGGCTCAGTCGTTAAGCATCTGCCTTCGGCTCAGGTCATGATCCCAGGGTCCTGGGATCGAGTCCTGCACATCGGGCTACTTGCTCTGTGGGGAGCCCACTTCTCCTTCTCCCCACTTGTACTCTCTCATTGTCTCTCCTTCTCTCTCAAATAAATAAATAAAATCTTAAAAAAAAAAGATTTAGGGCGCCTGGGTGGCTCAGACGGTTAAGCGTCTGCCTTC